GTGGCTTTAGAGGAACTAGTTCCAAAGATAAGAAGGATAATCAAAAGGGATGCTTCAACTGCAAGATGCGTGATCACTTCATTGTTGACTGTCCATAATTATAGAAGGACGAAGTAAAGAAAGGAAGCTATCAAAAAGACAACTTCAGAAACAAGGACAAGAAGAATATCATCTCCTCTGAAGGAAAAGTCAATCTAGCTCTAATGGCTCATACATCCTTTGATGCAGAATTTGACTTAGGTTCTGGTTCTGAATCTAAAGAGGAAGATGATGTATTTTCTAACTTATCTAATTCATATTTAATTACTTTTGTTAAAGACTTTATTGGTTGTTGTCAAGTTAAATCCATACATGTGAAAATTATGATAAAGCTTTATGATCTCTTTAAGGATGAATTAATTTATGATCTCTTTAAAGATGAATTAAATTTTTATAAAAATAAGTTTGTTGAACTAGAAAGAGATTATACCACTTTAATTAATGACATGTATGACAAAGCCCTTAATAAGTAAGAAATGGATCTTCAGGAGTTTGTCATTTCTGGATTTAACATGACAAAAATAGCTTGTATGATTTAGGAGCAGGGGAGAAGGTCTTGGCTATTTTGGAAAATCTTTTGATCTTAAATATGGAACCTGGAGCAAACCAGCAGAACCTTCTTCTCCAAAATCTGATCAAAAAGGACTTTATTCTTACTTTTTACCTGCTACTGACAAAGTAGAGGTTTTGAATTAATCATAATCAAATGTTGTTAAATCAAAAGCTATGAAGAAATCAGAACCAGGGACCTCAAAGTCTAAGGTTCTGAAGAAACAAGAGCCAATGATTCAAAAGTCTAAAGTTTTTATAAGACCAAAACTTGAGACATTAGAGTCTTAGGTTCTAAGAGGTTCAAAAACAAAGAAAAAAAGTCATTCAAAACACAGAAGTTTTAAATAAAAAGTCTTGAATGATTCCAAGCCTTACTACATGAAGGCTAAGGTACAAGGTCAGAAAAGACTCTTCATAACTAACCCTTCAGAAATTTTTTAAAGTTTATGATACAACATGTCTACCTTTGTGTTCATATGGTCAAATTGTCTAACTTCGTACGTACCACCCTTTTGGGAGGTTTTAGTATTTTTATCACATACGGAACCCCATGAGTGGTGGTTCTTAGCCATATCCTCAATCAAATTGTATGCTACATCTTGTGGGCTATTCATTATCAACTATTATAAAAAGTATGAATTATCCTTCATTTATCTCCATTTATCCAGACCATGGAACGGACAGAGTCTCAAAAGGTATTTAAAATGCTCCCAAGCGTCAAAGAGAAACTATACATCATCTTGCCTAAAATTATTGATTTTGCTTCTTACCTTGGCCGTTTTGCTTGGCGAAAAATACCGCGCAAGAAAGGCGGATTTGAGCCCGGCCCATGAAGTTATAGAGTTTATTGGCAAAGACTGGATCCATTATTGGACTCAATCTCTTATAGAGAAAGGGAACAATCTTAGGCGAATGGCATTTTAGACAACACCATTAGCCTTCAATATGCCGCAATTATCAACAAAAATCGAAATATGTAAATTTGGGTTCTTAGTGGGTAAACCAGAAAACTGATTTTGTTGAATTATGTCTATAAATGAATGCTTTGGTTCGGAATTATTGGCCGCAATAGGCGGGTGAACAATGTTTTTATGTGATTCATCATCGGGGGGAACCGCATAGTTTTTCAGTGGCTTCGTATTCATAATCTCAGTCATTTATGGTAAGGTGAGAAGTCGGCACCTCTCGTGAAGAAATCGCTTGATCTCGTTAATCGGATTAACCAAACTATCGGTTGAACAGGTTCTTCACATGCAAGATTCGAACAAAGAGAATAAAAATACCTTAGTCTAAACGGTGTTGGAATAAATTTTGATATCTCAATACCTCCCTGGAAACGGTGCCAAAAACTTGATGTGTGTGAATCGCAAGTGCACGATTGTGTCATGTAATACAAAAGTTTGACCCCATTAGGAGATGTGTGATTACCAAGTTTTATCTCAACTATGCTTATCTAAGGTGATCGCAAGGTTTTTTTAATGCAGATTATAAATTAAAGTTTAAACCAATAATGTAAAATAGGAATAGGAATTATGATTCAACATCTAGAGTTATCCCTATGATTTGTGTATGTTTTGTAATACAAGAAGTTCTAAGCGGTTTTTATAGAAATTAAGATAAATATGTGTGTCACCCACTTTCGTGGCATACACATCTAGGCGTGTTTCAGGCGCAACTAATTAAATCAATCAAGAGTGTTACACCTCGTCACGTGATGGCCTTTCTTGATTGTTTCTCATTTGAGATCAAGTTTCCTGGTCAGTGGCACCTCAAATCAGTTGTTTAGCAACTCGCTTTCGGGTGTTAGTTCATTACCTTTCGATACATGAACGAAATCTCTGATGACCTTGCTTTCACAATCGTCATAAGCATAAAAATAGTACTCGAGTTCTAAAATAAAGAAGGCTTAAACTTCTCGTAGTTACAAAAACATAGATTTTAATAGAGATTTGTCATAAGATGGACTCACATAATCTCCAAATCCCTAAGGAACTACTCACTCACTGTGAGATGAGCAACGACAATGTTAAAGCTTAAGAACATTATAAAAGAAGAAAGTAAATAAATAAATTGGTAACAAACTATAAAGTAAAAATAAAGGTAAGCTTAATAATAGAATTCTGGAACTTATAAATAACAAAAGCTGAAGAAACTTAAAGAAAATAACAATGTATTGCAAAAAGTCTAGTAAAAAATGATACCAATGAAGGATCTTAAAGCCTGTATTTATACTAATTCAAGACCTAAGTCACCTAGTTACAATAACAATTTAGTGTATAATGAGTACTTAACACTAATCATAAATCAAATGGAAGACATAAAAACCAAAAGTCACAAAAGCTGCCCAAAAATCAAAAGTTTGCAACTGATTAAGCTGCTGACATGGGCAGTGTTAGACAACACGGACTGGTCGTGTTAGCCTCAGGTTTGTCATATGGAGGGGCACTGAAGGGGGTAACATGGTCCGTGTCATGGGACACAACCAAACAGTGTTGTCCTTAGAAGTTTTGTACTTGAAGAGTTCATTTTCTTGCGTTCTTCAACCTTTTCTTCATGATTTGCTTCATTGACTTCTTATTGACTGAAAACAAGTAAAGAACACAAAAGCGCATAAAAATGTCCTTGAAAGATGCTAAAACACATAAAATAGATAAGCAAACAAGCTAGAAAGCACTATGCATTCACACTACTTATCAACCTGTAGCAGAGAGGCATATATGTTGAGCTGCTTGCACGTAAAGTAGAAAGCATCTCCTAAATATATATAGAGTGTGACAAGTGCAACTGCCTCCCGACTATACCTATCACATCCATCCAAGTTCCTAAATAGTGATAAATACTTTACCTCTACAAGAGTAAAAGTCTTGTCGGCAAAAATGGTGCAATCTTCCAACAACAGCATATAGGCTCTTACAGCACACTCAAATCTACTATCAGCTCTTTGTCACACAAATACATCCTTCAACCAATCCAACTTATAATAAGAAATCCTACAATTAGGGACATCCTCAACTGCTTCTTCCAAGGAAACATCTAACATATCAATAACAAGATTAATATCATCAGTGAACCTTGTGCAGGATCCTAGAACTCATCCCTACATGGTAAATGAAGAAGACAAGAAATATCATCCATTGTAATAGTCATCTCACCAAATGGCATATGAAAGGATGATGTTTCTAAATGTCATCTCTCTGCAAAAGTCAATACTAAATTTTGATCTATCCTCGACAAACTGATTCTCTGGAGAGAGGATAGACTAGAGTTAGACAGCCAACTCTCTATCACCGGTAGGAGACTGTGCAGAACCCATCCTATCAATTTTCTACCATGTGCATCAATCTTTAATTCTTTCTTTGGATGTCTCTCTTAAAAACAACATATAGTATGTGTTATAAAATATAAATAATTAAAATTAAAAATGATTCTATATAAAATGATAGAGATTAACTTACTTTGTTGTACCATAAATGGCGAACAACATGATTCTAGTACCTCACCAGAAGAGACGTATTGTACTACTCCCCATGAAATTGTGGCTACTGTGGATCAGGCTCAGGTGCGACTATCTAAGGTTCCTCTCCACCCATCGCTTGTCGAGGTTGTCGTACTCCACCTCTTCGTCGGATAATATCCATGTTCCGGCCTCTCGTGCGCACTATTAAAAATAACAAAAAATAATCAAATAATCATAGATAAAGTTCTTCGGATTAAAACATTAAGAACTGGATAACATGGCTCCAAATTATCCGGTTAGCAACAATGTAAATCGAATAACCTTGTGCCAAGTTATCCGGATAGCAACAATATAAACCGAATAACCACAATGCCAAGTTATTAGGTGTGTAAAATTATTTCGTATTAAAACTGGAAAACTTACTTGTGAGTTATATGATGTGTTGAAATATTGAGTCGGAATTCTTTACTTCTTGGTTTTTTTGTTGGTTGCTGAAAATATTCTCTCGCTTTTATAAAATGAAATAAGAAAAAAAGTGAAAAAATTTGAAAGTTTAAGTGTTTATAGATGGATATCTTGGTTCAAACTCGTAATATATAGGGATAGATAGATAAATGATGGAGTATAGGGTATAATTTTCTTACAATAGCCAGCCAAACTTGCCCAGCGATGCAGCTAACTTCTAATTGAAGAATATATTGATAGAAATGTTTTATTAGCCAAATCCTATTTACACCTCACCCCACCTTTTAATTCCCAAATCCGTTGTTGTGAACCTCTTTCACCCCTCTTGTTCTGTCTCTCATACATACCAATCTCTGGATTTGAACGGATTTATCTTCTGAAAACAACAGATTAGTTTGATGGCAATCAAGTCTCTGATCAATCTTCCCTTTCAAACTCTCATTTTCTGAAAAGCTTAACGATTATAACTACATTATCAGTTAAGCAAATGGCATTGGCAAAAGACAAAAAGAAGAAACAGAACCAAAATACGGAGAACGGTGTGGTGATCACACTCTACGTGGAATCATCACGAACTCGCTCATCAAACAAGGATCACACAAAGAAAACTAAACCAAAAGTTGAATCAAAAACAACACGTGGCTATGACCGTAAGGCTCAGCTTTTTGAATACTCTAGATACCTCAGAAAAATCGAAGCCTCCCAAAATGTTCAAACTCAATCACAACCAAAAATTAAGGTAAGTTTTCTTTTCTTCTTTTCTAGCAAAATTTTGTGGTAAAATAGAGACTAGTGTGGTCGATGCGGATCATAATTTAAAAGAGACGTACATTATAACTTTTTGAATTTTGTGAAATTTTAACAGAAGCGTAAATGGTCGCAAATGACTCAAAGTTTAAGTTCATTTTTTGAACCAAAGAAGAGAAAGTGCAAAGGAAACAAATACTGTTACTTGTTTATGGTAATGTTAATAGTAAGTTTGTGTGTTCTTTATTTTCGTTCAACATTTTATTTTTTTATGAAATGATCCTTGAATATAAAAAAAAATTGATTCTATTTTCTAAATTTAAAATCCGCAAAACAAATCTGCAGATTTTCGACCGATTTTCCTTCGAATTTTACTTGTGTTTAACATTGGCTAGAATGGTCTGATTCTGTTTTTTATTTTTTGTTATGCTTTTTAATACTCTCAGATGAAACTTAAGAGCATGCTGAAAAAATTGTCTTGCAAAGAGATAGTAGTAAAGAAGAGCAATTAAGATCGTGGTTATGTTACGTAAGGTAATGGAAATTTGCTTCAATTTCTGTCTTTTTTGTTTTCATCATCTATTGGAATACGATGTTATATTATTTATAAATACATGGAAGGCTAATTCTATTAGATCCGTTATTTCTTCTATGCCTTTTTATATCTCTTTACTTTCTCCCCCTCCCTTCTCCAGCAGGAAAATTTAGCCATGATTTACTTGCATCAAATGACCAAAACATAAAAGAACAAAAAGAAACCTAGTTGATAATGAGAACAAGTTCGGGAATAAAGAATTAAAGATGCACACTGATAATTTCCTACTTAATAAAGTAACATCTACAAAAATAGCAACAATAGTGCCCAACTCTTGCTCCTATCGCTCCCAGAAGTTTATCCTACAAATTGGTAGAAGACCCTGGCAACCTTTTCTTTTACACAGACATATTATGGTTGAGTAATAATTACATAATACACATTGACCATAGTTATCAAATATGATATTCATGCGCCAACCGGTAAGCGTGTTAGTTCTCTGGAATGCTAGAACCAAAGCAGTGCCTAAAATATATGCTACAACACAACCAAGAGAACTCTGAAATCTAAAGGCACAACACAGACCAACAATTGCTGCAATAATGAACCCGCAGTCCAACTCTTAACAACTTGAAAACCAGAAATTGGAGGCATTTTAAATCCAACAAATCGACAGATTTGTCATCAAGAGTTAAATAATCAAATAAGCCACTGAAGAAGATAAGATAAACCCATGCTGCAATGGTTTGCATAGGTGTACTTTGCCATCTGAGAGTTCCAACGGAAACCAGTTGGGAAGTCTTTTGTTCTCTTTATGCTCTTCCTGTTACAGAAATTATTTATTAGGAAGAAAATGTCCCAAAAAATAATTACAACACAGTTGAGATAGTAAACTGGGATAAACAGAGCAGCAAAATGAGATAGTAAACAGGGTATAAGAATCTTTACCTTATTTATGTTAAATGATGGAGATGACAAGTTTAACCTCTTCTCATAGTATATGGAGATGCAGAGCCAGAGGATTGGGAGAATGACCTCTGGACAAATTTGTGGTCTAGGAGTTGTGCCGCAGTGGGACGATCATCTGGATTAACTTTAAGACACTGCAGGATGAAATCACGTGCATCTCTTGAGAGAGAATCAGGTACTGGAGGTAGTTCACCTTTTCCAATTCTAAACATTGCGCTGATCTGTTGTCAGAAGAGATTCATTGAAACTTTGAAGTCAAAACAGTAATGCAATGTTACAATATAAATGTTATTGCGGGAAGGAGAGGAGTACAATTATACATAAATGATAAAGATTGGAAAGTTTTGATGGTCATTTGATCATCTAAAAGTGTCGCATGCAACCAGGTGCCAATGGCCACAATTAAAAATTATTTATTAGTTATTTAACAACTTTGAAAAGTCGCATAAGTTTAAGTTTAATCTCATCTTAATAGTGTGGTTAAAAGCAGAAACATAGTTGGATTATGAGCTTGAAATGCTAATATGATACGTACACATTCCATAGGATGGTAGGGAATATGCCCAGTTAACATCTCCAGCACAGTGCATCCTAGACTCCATATATCAGCAGGAAGTCCATAACCTTTCACTTTTCCTTTTACAACCTGCATATTACCATAGTAAAGCTTAAAAATCACTCACTGCTTAACCTAATAAGAATCACTGCAAGCATTTGAACTAGTAGAAGAGCATAAACTCAAAATTTATATGTAACAACCATGGATCAAACAACTTAACTGTTAAAGAAACTATTTAGAAGTTATAAACAATGTAACAAATATGTTGAACCAATAACTCTCTTTTAAAGAGAAGATTGAAGACAAACCTCTGGTGCCATCCAGAATGCTGTTCCCTGACATGATTTAACATCATTCAATTTAATTGCCTGAAAAACAATAGTCATGGAATAAAATTAGTAAACAGGAACTAAATTTTATGCAGTTGAAGGTAGTACAGATTCCGTAACTAAAGTCAAACTCTGACAGAAACTGAAGCAGAGTAGAAAAGGTCACCTTTGCCAATCCAAAATCCGCAACCTTGACAGATCCATTTGCATCAACCAATATATTTGCACATTTAATATCCCTTTATGTAGGAGGGAAAATAGTTAGGCCATATTTACAAAAATTGCTTTGTGGCACTATATAACTATGCTTTAACACAGAATAAAATATGCTAAATAAATTGTGACACCATAAACTAAAAAGAAATAAAACTGCACCCATTAGAATTTCTGACACTGAATCCTTATGTAACATAGATGTTTATACAGTTTCAAGCTCCAAGAACAAGTTGAAATGTTTCTTATACTCTATCTAGAGCTTATATACTAGGTTGTTTCTAAGGCTAAATATCATCTTTGCATAGGGTTTCAGAAAATATTCAACATCTCAATCTCAAATTAGTCTAATATCAATGAAAATAACATTACTTTTTTGTGAAATTCATATCCAACAGGGTATCCAACGCTGCAAAAACACAAGTTTTAGGAACACGGGAAAGAGAAATAAGAAATTGATAGAAACAGTCATAGGAAATGAACAATTTGATTGAAAATACTCAGAAAAGGAGAAAGAAAGAAGATTCCTCCAAGGGTTTTCCCCTACATCAGAGCCTTTGCTCAGTTCTCACATCCAAATTACTAGATGCCTCCCATCTCTCTCCAGGTCCTTTTATTTTAAACCTTTCTATCTAACTATCGATCGCCGTGATAGATTTGAACTGCAACAAACTAGATGGATATCCGACTGTATTCTCTAACCTAACCCCATACCATACCCATTTATTCTTCTAGGTCCTGTCACAACAAGCCAAAAACAAACACTAAAATACTTAACGTAGGTTAACCGTTATACAACTAAGAGAAAAAGACAATAATTGGATGAGAAATACTTTTCTCCCTACAATTTTTTCCCTTTTTCTACTCCCCTTTTTATATTTGCACAATATATATGTAAAATGCTTTCCGGACAATGAAAATGAAGGGAAATTCTAAATAACCAGTTAACAACAGGAAGAAAGAAACACTACTACTATTGAAGTCATTTTAAAACAATATATTGTAATTATGAGACAGCAAGTGGAAGTTTCTTTCATGCAAGGAAAGCAAGAACACCAAAATTCATCTCTATTCTATACCACAAAGAATAGAAAAACAAATTAATAAATTTTGGAATCACCTGTGAACAATATTGCGATCATGAAGATACTTTAAACCGTTCAGAATTTGTCTCGTATAAGCAGATACTTGGGAATCTCGAAGTTTATACCTCCGGTAGAGGCTTAAAAGGGAACCTTTGGTTACAAATTCGATAAAGATATATAGATTTGATTCATCCTGCAATAAACAACAAGCAGTAAATTACAAACTACAGTTCAAGATAGTAGTTATCGTGTAATGAAAAGTGGACCGGTAACCGGGAACGTGTCCTGTGAAAACTGAATAATACATGAATAACGTACATGCATTAATCTCTTTCTATAGACTATTCTAACCTAATGGGTCTGACAAATGGACTAAAGGTCTGAATACAAATTACAAATTACGACTAACAATTGTAAAAATAACTACAGTAAGAATAAACTATCTACAGCATGTCCAGTCCGTTTTGGCCCTAAAACCACTATGGTATAAAACAGATACTAAACTTGAAAACCGGGTGAACTGTCTATTTTTTTTAGCCTCCCAACCCCACGTTTTTGCTTTTTCTTCTTGATTTTGTGTTTTCCATGACACAAAAAGCATAGGAGAGGAGTGGAATACAAAGGCTAATGAAGAAGAGGAAAATGCAAAGAAAATGTTTCGTTAATGTTAACTAACAACTACTATAGTAATTCTTTTAACAAACGAGAATAGGACATTGATAGAGCTGTTTGTTTAACGAGCGGGGAATATGAACAGCACCGAACATACTGCACAGAGAATATGCTGAAAATCTAAAAGCAGCTTTAGTATCCTTTTCCTTACTAGTACTATTATAGTATATAATTAATTATCATATTTATCCTTGGAAGTTAGGCTACGTTTCTATTAATAGAAAATTAGTATTTTTATCATTTAAACAATAACTAAGTTAATTTGTACCAGCTTTATAATATAATTAAATACTAGGTTATGCCAAAATTAACCAAATATGTCAACATACTATTTAAAATTTTAAAAAGGAAATCATATAAACGAAAACGATTGAACCCCGGTCCAACCAAGGTGAAACCTTGAACCCATGTCTACACCGGTTCGATGTTTGGTCCGGTTTTAATTACCTTGGTAGTTATTGGATGAAATGACAAGCTCACAATAATAAAATGACTGATAGAAGATAAACTTGTCTATATCTGACAAAATCTGAAAACAGACAAAATACTGCAGCATAACTACAGAAAATAATTGAAGGAATTGCAAGGTGATCAAATGTCTTGACATGCAACCTGAAACCTAACGTTGATTTCTACTTTATATGCTTAAAGTTATATTGGAAACCAGTCGCTAGCTTTGTAGTGAGTCAAGACAAGGTGAAGTTAGCAATACATCAAACTATACAATATACATATCTGGCTACAACTTTTCCATTACTTTTAGACATCCAATAAAATATTTCAAGATGAAAAAGGACCTATTACATTTAACATAAATTTTGTGATGCCTTTTTCTGCACAATTAGCTCTTGATTATTTTCCTTTTTTATTTAAAATTTATTTTGCCGAGATTTATGTTTTCTTAACGTCTGTCATTTAGAACAGATGCATTCCATATAATTCTAGGCTAGCATCTATTAGATTGTAAATAGACGACTTGTCTATATAGTGTAAAATCAATCCTGTATTGTTTCATGTTTAGTGAATATTATTCAGATAAACTATCTTTTCATCTCTTTCAAGTTGATGGAAGGTATCAAGCTATCATGAACCAACTATCCCAAAAGATTAAACCATTAGGCAAAGAATGATGCAAAGGCCCACACCATATAACTTTTATCTTCTATCTAAAAGAAAAGGGGCAACGGCAGTTGAAAATTTCATGAACCAACTACTCCGTAAAGCCAAAGCTGTTCAATGAAAGTGCATGAATAGCACTATATGCAACAGATTCTTTCACCATGGGCTCAAATGAAATTTAACATAAAAAGGAAAAAGACAAGAGATGGCAGGAAAAGTACCATTTCAGTGCCAATGTATCGAACTATATTCTCATGTTCAAACTGACTCAAAAGTGCAATTTCCTGAGAGTGAGGAAAAAGTAGAGTCAGAAAAAAATATAGTTAAAAAATAATACGGAGAACGTAAATAGATGAAAATGGTTGATCAACTTTCAAGATATTGCACAAGGCAGCAAAGTATTAAGAAAACATTTATCTTCATAAGGATTTTGATTAATGGAAAATTGAAGTATAAAAAATTTATAAAGCAATAGAAAAAGTAAGCCTGTCTGACTGTCTTACGTGCTCCAGTTGCATGACACTTTGCTTTCCATGACTCCCTTGATCAAGCAGTGAAACTTGTTTTACAGCAAAAAGAATCCATCTCTACAGTGGTAATCAGAAAGTGAATAAAACTAGAACTTAGCACTTACCTAACAATTATAAACATCAAATTTAGTAAATGCCAATTTATTTAGGGCTTTGCTCCTGAGCATTGTGGCAAAAGTGAGATACAAACTCAAAAGATGAAGCGTGTTGAATAGAAGATATTAGATGATAGTTTTATTAAGAACAACTTAATTTCACCATTAAACTAAGAAAAACAAAGGGATTCCAAAATGGAGCCATGATTTTCATATTGTGCCAAAATAGACAGCCTAGGACAAAAAGGCATCACTCCAACATGTGCAACAAAGGGATGCCAGCATCATACTATTTTTCGGTAGATTATTGTCCAAAAATAAAAAAGGGTTTAGAGTCCTTTTGCTCTTGCTCTGTCAAAATTTTGCACTGTTATAAAAGAAAACAAGATGAAATGAATGGCCATATTGTCTAATGTGCAAAATATTTCCTTAATAAGTTCAACTATGTTTCAAACAACAACTCTAATTACTAGAAACAACAGTATTTACTTTGAAAACAATATTTGATACTTCTCTACTATGAAACACAGACACCTCTAGAAGCAGACGTGTCGCGGTGTCCGACACTTGTATGACACCCGTACGACACGTGTTGGAAAAGTCAAATAAGTGTCGGAAAAGTCAGACGAGTGTCTTCAAAAAATTGATTTTTTTTCTTTGCTCTGACACATTAAATCAGTGTCTGATGCCCATATGACACTCATACAACACGTGTCCGATAATTCAAACAACTTCTCTTTAAAATAATTGTGTTTTTCTTTTCTCCAACACACTTTATACATTTTCTAGACAAATCTAACGCACGATTAAAAGGATTAAACATGTACTGAAGCAATGTTATCAATGAAGAATTAAAGATACTAATTTTGATTAGAATATTTTAAACTCTTTTTATATTAGATGAATAAATAAAACTTAAATACTATAACATATATAACGGTGTCGGTGTCGTAGGTTTTTGACATATCGGTGTCAGAATGTCCGTGTCGTGTCGCGGTGTCTGTGTCGTGTCGCAGTGTCCGTGTCAAAGTCTGTGCTTCATAGTTTCTCTATCCTCTTTTTAATTAGATAGATACACTAACATTCATTACAGACGTGGCCCCCAAGAACACTTTTCTATTTGGCAAGAGTTAATAAGTTCCCTAAGTTAGATCATTGATTATGAAATACATAACTGAAAAGAAAGAAAAAACAGAGCTTTCTAAATCACTAATGTATAAAACTTTATATACACAACCCATCCCTTTAAATCTCTCAAATATGAAGGGAGCCAAAAATTCATTCAGGATCTTCCTACCCTACCCTTCCAAAAAGATAACTGAGCTATAAAAATTTAAAACAATATATCCCTCAATTTCTCCCAACTAAACACTACCTAATGCAAAGCAAACCCTTTTTATTTTATCTTCATATGTTTGGTTTAGCAACGAATTTAGCAGAATCAAGTGTGCCAGTGGGACTATGATAAAAGCTACCATTTGGAGTTTGAACAAAATCTCGACACCACTGTGATCTCCTCAAACTAACCACAATTCCAAACAATCATTATACATTAATGAAATGACAAAACTTAACTAACGTGCTAATAATAGAAACAAGAAATGCACAGGTGAAGAGAATGAAAGCAGAACAGCACTTACTCAGAAATTCCTTCATATACAGATCCAAATGAACCGCGCCCCAAAAGCTCACCCTTTTGCCAACTACCAGGAGTGATAACATGTTTCAATCTCACATTAGGAGATATACTGTTGGACCTAGGCTCCGTTGTAGTGCTAGATGAATCATCCTCTTGTGAAGTAGTGAATGTCGTGAAGGAACAAGACCTCGAAAACTCACCAATAATCTCAGCACTTTCCTCTTCGTCTCTCTTCAATATCACACCACCCACTTCCCCTTCTTCTTCTTCTTCTCTATCTTTCTTCTCTTCCTCTTCTTCTCTCTCTTTTCCTTTTACTTCCCCTTCAGGAGCAAAATCCCTCAGAAGATCCCACGTGGAACACGTGTTATCCAAAACAGAAACCCTAACTCCTGGTGGCGGCTTAAGCATCGGAGGTCTACATCCTTTAATACCACCGCCGCCAGTATTCAAACAATCACTCGTCTCATCAACATCCCTAATCGGAACCCTAATTTCACCACCGGTATAGCAACTGGTGCTAACCTCATCAAAACCCCTACTCGGAACCCTATCTTTTCCACCACCATCACCTATATTGCAACAACCGCTAGTCTCGGCAGGAGAATCTCTAACTGAAACCAAAACCGAAACCCTATCATCACTCTCTGCTACTACAATTTCATCCTCCACCTTCGCTTCATCGAACTCCGAAATATTCAACCTCGGTAAAACATCAGACGCCGATCGAACCTTCATCGCTTCCCAAGCCGCCGCCGGAATCGAGAAATCCTCCGGTCCGTTAAGCCCGAGGCTCCGACAAATAATATCGAACTCACCATCAACTCCTTCAACTCGAAAGCTAGTCCGATCGTAGAAATCCATGGATCGAGTATAGAGAATCGACGACGACGTAGAGGATTCCGGCGACGACGGCTGCGCGTCGTAGTTGAAGTTCTTCGCTGCATTCCGGCGTTCTAACTTCGGTTGTTGTTTCCTTGGAGTCTTCTTCTTCGAGTTCATGTCCGTTGGTTGCTTTCTATAAGCGAAAATTCGAGATAAGTGATTCATTCGTGGCGGAAAAGTCCATTTAAAAACGCTACCGTGCGTTTGAAAAAAATCGCTTTTAAATTGGTGAAAGTACAGAAAGAAAATAAGAGCGAGACTGTGCTAGAGATGGTAAACGAAGTTGTAAAAGGAAACAGAAAAATCTTCACAAAAAAAAAAGCCAGAAAACGCGGTGCCACGTTGACTACCAATACAAGAATCGGATTGGATTGCTCTTTGTGGAATTTTGTATGTTTTATTGCTTTAAAATTTTCTATGTCCACGCGCATTATCATACTTTTTAGATTAATAATTGCATCCAATCAAATTATGTTACACTTCTATTTTTATAGGTTAATTTTTAAATATTTTTCAAAATATATAAATAATTTTGATTTAATTAGATGACTGTATGTATAAAAAATTATATCATAAATTTATGAGTTTAAAGATCCACTAAGTGAGAGTAAAAAGTTTTACAATGTCATTTAATAGAAGATAAGTTTTCATCTCAACTTATTTGAGTAAAAAAAAATGTCTCTCTGTTGTAGTTTATATTAGAATGACAGGTCTTGCATTTTTATTGATTTATATATACAAGATAAGTTTTTATATCTATTTGTTATACAATTATGATTATTCTATAAATGGAGATGTTTGTAATAATACTCTAATAATAATAATAATATTTTAATAATAATAATAATAATAATAATAATAATAATAATAATATTTTAATACATTTTCATAGTTGAAATGGGAGGCTGGAGAATGTTGAAACTATCACGAAAATCATCAAAGAGTTATAATGGAAATCCTTTAGTGAAGATGCTAGCAATTTGGTAACGTGAAGGGACATGTAATACTCGTATTTGTTCGTGGTCAACATTTTCACGCACAAAATATATATCTATCTCGATGTGTTTGGTACGCTGATGTTGAACTAGGTTGTCGGATAGATAGACAGCACTCACATTGTCACAATAGACCAAAGTGGTTGTTTTAGTGGGCAATGTAGTTCCAATAGTAAGTTTCTAATCCAAAAAGATTCAGATATTACATTAGTGATTTCGCAGTACTCGGCTTTTACATTTGACCAAGAGAGGGTGTGATGGCGTTTGGAAGACTATGAGATTAAATTGTCGCAAAGATAGACACACTAACCAGAGGTGGATCGCATGGTGTCTGAGCAACCAGCCCAATCTGCATCATTGTAAGAAACTAATTTGTTGATAGATTATACGCTTCAGTGATGACATATGTTGCATTTTAGGGTCATGCATGAATAGGCATACTTGTTGTGTTACATAAGAGATATTGGGTCTTGTGAAAGATAGATATTGCAATGCTCCTACAAGACCCGATATTCAATTGGGTCATGATATGGATTCTCAGAAGACCCACTGAGTGTTGCCTTGGTGTCGATTAGGGTGTGTGATGGCTTACAATAGGACATGCATGAACGTTCTATAATTTTCTATGCATATTTCCTTTGAGATAAGAAATGACCACTTGTATGTTTAGTGACAGGTACTCTCAGAAAATAATTCAGAGGACCCAAATCCTTCATGGCAAATTCAGAACTAAGTTTATGTAAGACGATGAGACGGATCTAGAAGGGGGGTTGATAGATCCTTTATTTAAAAATTTTGCTTTAAAATTTGTTTTGAAATGGTGCGAAAGCTTCCCGAATCAAAATTGTATAAATGATTTGTTATTGAAAAGATCGGATATGAGAAACTGTATGGAGATCTTATGATGAGAAATGAGTCAATGCGATTACTTACTAATCAATCACTTAAACAATCGCAATGAGTACTTACTACTTCCAATGAACTATTTAAGATAAAACTTGATAAAATCACGAATTTGTGTGTTAGTCAATTTATTAAACATTTGGTATACAAAAACACAACAAGTTCAATTTTACTTAATTGTAGTGATGAATTTTCTTTGATAGCAATCAAAGTGATTGTTATAATTATTGTAAACTAAGTTTGAATCACTACAATCACAGTAAAATGAATTGAATAATCAATATCACATAAATTATAACAAACGAAAATAAAAGGATAGGGAAGGAGAAACAACACACGATTTGTTAAGGCAGTTCCCCTTGTCGTCCTCGTGTAGGGTACGTTTGACCCCAATTCTAAAATATAGAATTGAGATATATGATATTAAGTTGCAAAGTGTTACAAGAGAAGCAATAGTCTTCACTACATACAAACCAATAGTTGATGGTGAAGTTATTCCCTTCTCTCCCTTGGTTCAAGCCAAACCAAGTATGCCAATCTCTTTGAACAAACCTCTGGTTACCGCTACTTGATTGCACGAACTCTTCGTCCTATAAATCTTTCACTCAGCTGATTTCGATCGCAAGAAATTTGACCCAAAATCTTTCTTCATAATCCTCTGGTTACCGCTACTTGATTGAGCAAACCCAACGTTTCTCAACCCTTTCATTCAGTTGAATTCAATGAAGCAAAGACTTGTGCAAAAACCCCCGCACCAAACAGAATCTTAGAGGACAAAACCCTAACAGTTTTATTCAAGAAAAAACTCACTCAATTCTCAATCCAAATTTGAAATTAATCTTTAATTTGAACGTTATCACCACAACTTTGCACTTTAATCAACAAAAGTTGTTATGTGTAATTGTTGATAAATGTAAAGAGGGGATGAAGATGATGAGAAATTGGTGTATATCTTTCACTTTTCTTGTTGACCCCAAATGATGAAAGCTAATTAGTATATATATATATATATATATATATATATATATATATATATATATATATATATATATATATATATATATATATATATATATATATATATATATATATATATATATATATATATATATATATATATATATATATATATATATATATATATATATATATATATATATATATATATATATATATATATATATATATATATATATATATATATATATATATATATATATATATATATATATATATATATATATATATATATTTATATATATATATATATATATATATATATATATATGTCACCAAATAGTCAAGACCTAAAAACGTAGTAGAAAATTGAGTGCAAGAAGTGAGCGGTCGACTCATGCAGGAGTCTCACTCGACGCGAGCACGCCCGAGCATTGTAGGAAGACCTTTGAGGAAGCAATGCATCGATCGTAACAGGATGAGTCGACACAAACAAAATTAATTTTTCTCCCAATGTGAGTCGACCAAAAAGGTCAACGCGAGCAGACCCGAGCTTGATGGATTGATCTTCTTCAATTTATGAGTCTACCTATCTTTAGAATGAGTTGACACAAACAATGAGAATTTTTCTCCCAGTGTGAGTCTGCCAGTAGAGTCGACGTGAACAGACCCGAGCTTGATGGATTGATCTTCTTCAAGCTATGAGTCGACCTAACTCTAGCTTGAGTCGATGCAAACAGTGAAATCTCTCAAAAATGAATGTTTCTAGAGATCTTCATTTCAACCATTCCACTAGCAATTTTGTCCATAGTACCAACCCTAGATCAAGAGCAAGCAATAGTCATTTTGATATCATTAAACAAATATAGAAGGACCTTGCCCTCACATAATCCCCCTTTTTGATGATGGCAAAACCTTTAAAAAAATTCTGCTCAATTCATCGAGAGCCTTAACCGAATATGCTCCCCCTGAATTTGTGCATTCTGTAGAACACTGATTTGTAATCTCTTGCTCACTATATTTCTTTTATTCTCTTCTCCCCCTTTGACAACATCAAAAATAGAAAAGCACGAGGTCAAGAGTAACAAAAACATATTTAATCGCATAAACATCATCCACTTAGCAACCTAAAACACCAACAACCATTCACATAAAATAAAGCTAGTGTAAAACATATAATAGTGAAATAATTAATCAAACACAAGAGGATCATTACTCACCAAATGAGTTCAACAATAAAACAACAAACACAAAGTAAGTTCTTAATAAAATAAAGTAACTAATAACATAAGCAAGACATTTAAATCATGCAAGTCATAAAATGCATTAAAAAGCATCAACATAAATCAACCCTCTATGTTCTCATCTCCTTGGTTTTGAGGATCCTCTGGTGGATAGTTGATGGGAAAATGTTGCATGTAGGTAGAGGTGAAGGAAGAAAAGTTTTTAGCTTGTGTTTGCAACATGCCATGTAGTGTGTTGTACCTTTGGGCTTGAGTGATGGTGTAGGAATCAAAGGTTTCTCCTTGAACCCGAACAATATTGTAGAGGTTGGTGAGTCTTTCATTTTGAATTGATGCATTTTCTTGTTGTTAAATTTGCATCCTTTCCAATATAGCCAATGCATCAGCATTGTTTCCTTGAGGCACTTGGGTGTCTTCCTCCATGGCTTCCACGTCTTCGTCTTCTTCTTCTTGTCCCTCATCTTCTTACTCATCTTCTTTGTAACGCCCGTAATTTAATTAATTATTTAATTAAATTATTTTTGGAATATTTTATGAAGATGTGTTCTGTATAATTGAATTTAATTATTTTATTAAGTGAAGAAATAATATTAGAAGTATATTATTATGTGGTGTGGGCTTATTTTGAAGGAATAGAAGTAATAAGGGGGTGTATTAGTTTTAAGCCCAATAAGGAATAAAGAATAATAGGGTTATTTTATTGTTGTTAGAAGGAATAGAAAGAAGAGGCAATAGAAGAATAAGGATTGAGAAGAAGAACGTGAAGCTGTTGGAAAAGTGGAAAAATGGCAGAACGAGAATTCAACCGGAGATTATAGAGCGACCTTCAATCCAAGGTAAGGGTGGGGTTCTGACTCTATAATTGGGTTCATGATGATTGATATGTGGGGTTAGAGGTGATTGTTGTCTTGTTCTTAAATTGAATGTATATGATGTTGTATGATGAAGAATTGATAAATTTTGGATGAATAATGATGTCCCAATGTTGTTTAATCGATGTAGAATCATAGGATAACTGTAAGTAATGATTTATCATGATTATATTAAGTTTGTAGGGCAAAAACAG